AGCAGAGAGGAATAGAAGAGGAAGAATAAGATGCACTAAAAAAGAATGAAACAAGCGACAACCAGAATTTACATGTGGCCAACAAGTCAGCATTAATAGACCAGAAATTGCCACAGGGTCTTTAAGAACTGTTAACAAACAGGATGTTGAGCTTTATGTCTCATTCAAAATAGAGCTCCCCAGCAGCATGTTGAACCACTCTAACATCATGCTGAGACTATGGTTCAGCTCTGACTCAGATGTGGAAGTGCCATTTACTGAACCACCTCCACCACTTCCTGCAGCAAAGATTATTTAGAGGTTTCTCTACCAACTTCACTAATTCTAGCACACACACACACCAGTCATGATAAATTCTGGGGAAAAAACTAACTAATTTGTATTCGTAAAAATGATCCTTTAATGTTTAATCCCAGAAAATTCAAAGTATTTCCTTGCACCCACTTTTTTCAGTATAAATTCCTACCACCACAGTAACACTTACCCTGAATTTTTAATCATCTGAGGGGTCTAACTTACATGGCCCTATTGTCTTCTTTGCTGTGTGAAAGCAGCAGTCATACACAGAAACTTTTACTTTCCATGGACAGCTATAGGCAGTCGGTCACTTGTGTAGTCTAATATATAGATTCAGGCTGTGATAACTCTTAGAATCTGAAGTCATGTATCAGAATCCCATTAAACTAGTTACTAATATAAAGCAAAAAGGTAATTTCCCTCCCAAACAGTTTAAAATATATGTGTAAGACCAGAGATAACAGGCGGATACAGGCAGAGAGGGAGGGGAAAAAAATGAGTTTGTACTGATCAGTATGATGACTAATGGGCTAACTAATTTCCAGATATATGACATAATGAATTTAGGTGTGTCCTAAAAGATGCATAGCAGATGTATAATAGACAGGAATGTAAAGTGAGAAGGCACTAATAAAATAGCAGGAGGACAGAAAGTTAAGTTGGTGCTTACCCACTGACTAATTCAATAATTAATTTTAAAGACTATGTATCATTAAGTATTATATAACATAAAGGTGGCTTAAAATTCAACTAGGAGTCGAATTTTTCAACTCGGAGTCAAGAGTTTCAACTAGGAGTCAAGAGGGGTAATTATGGAATAGGGTCTACTCCACCTATCACAGATCTTGGTGTTACACCACATTCATCTTTCCAGTAAGGCAATAAATTTGTAACTAACAGCCTTCACATATTTTTTCTTTCTATTTTCTCCAGGGAAAAAATGGATACAATGAAAACTAACTTTGTAAAGTCAAAGAAATGCACTTAAAAATGGGAGTTCCAAAGAGAGCTCATTTCAAAGTTTTAGGCTAGCCAGCCAAACAACTTTTTCTACGAAATTGCTAACTTTAGCTTTACTGTAGAAAACCACATTACACTGGAGGATTGAAGTTGCAAGCAGAAGTATTTACTCAGAATTCTAGATTATTTTTAGTGAATCTAGGGCCCGGTCATTAAGCACCTTGAACATAAGGACCAAATTACCACCTTTGAGCTATGCTATGGGAAGCCAATGTAAAGTACACAGAGCCGGGTTTGATGCTTTTGAAATAACTTCTTACTGAGTATACCGTGAGAGCAGCAGTTCCCAAGTACTAAAAGCTTCATGCCGTATTCCAAGCAATTCCTCGGGCCCAGAAGCTATGAAAACTTGAGGAAAACATGAACATGGAAAAACAGTGAATGGAATTGGCTAGGCAATGAAGGGGCTATTAACAAATGCAGCTCTTCAAGCTTCCTTAAGATTTTCTGTGAGTATTCCTAAACCTATACCATGAGCCTATACCTTCAATTATAATGGCCCCACAGCAGTGGACTCTTCTAGATGCCTTCTTCAACCTACCAGTGAGTGTTGAGTGCTGCTGAAGTTCAGCTTCAGCTTACTGCTCTTTACTCAGGAGACAGGACACTTTTGTGGAATTCTTTAGGGCAGATGCAGCGAAGGATATATAAGACTTTGTAACATCTGCATGATACTCATACCTTTGCCCAGTTCTGTGGAAAAGCGCATCTAGTAGCCACATATATACACTTTCCATAAATAGCATAAATAGCATTTATCCTTGCTGGATTCCATAAGCAAAGGATACAATAGTGGAAGAACAGTTTCACTGGATGTGTTCCTCCAAAAGATAGCCCCTCAAACTATCTTGATACATTATATCTTGATACATTCCTCCTGGAAACTATGCTAAGGCACACGGAATATAAGGAGGTGATTGGTGACAGCCAACATGGCTTTACTAAGGGCAAATCATGCCTGACAAATTTGGTGGCCTTCTATGACGGGATTACTGCGTTGGTGGATAAGGGAAGAGCAACTGACGTCATCTACCTGAACTTGTGCAAAGAATTTGACACTGTCCTGCATGACATCCTTGTCTCTAAATTGGAGAGACATGGATTTGATGGATGAACCACTCGGTGGATAAGGAATTGGCTGGATGGTCACACTCAGAGTTGCAATCAATGGCTCAATGTCCAAGTGGAGACCAGTGACGAGTGGCGCTCCTCAGGGGTTGGTATTGGGACCGGCGCTGTTTAGTATCTTTGTCAGCGACATGGACAGTGGGATTGAGTGCACCCTCAGCAAGTTTGCCAAGGACACCAAGCTGTGTGGTGTGGTCGACACACTGGAAGGAAGGGATGCCATCCAGAGGGACCTTGACAGGCTTGAGAGGTGGGCCCATGCAAACCTCATGAAGTTCAACACGGCCAAGTGCAAGGTCCTGCACATGCATTGGGGCAATCCCAAGCACAAATACAGGCTGGGCGGAAAACGGATTAAGAGCAGCCCTGAGGAGAAGGACTTGGGGGTGTTGGTTGACAAGAAGCTCAACATGACCCGGCAATGTGCGCTTGCAGCCCAGAAAGCCAGCCATATCCTGGGCTGCATCAAAAGAAGCATGACCAGCAGGTCAAGGGAGGTGATTCTCCCCCTCTACTCCGCTCTTGTGAGACTCCACCTGGAGTACCACGTTCAGCTCTGGGGCCCCCAACATAAGAAGGACATGGACCTGTTGAAGCGAGTCCAGATGGAGGCCACGAAGATGATCAGAGGGCTGGAGCACCTCTCCTATGAAGA